GAAGAGTYTGTTTCCTACTTTATTTGARTCTGTTGAGATGTCAAATTTGAGATGTGAGAGTTGTGAGCTTGCCAAACATTGTAGAACATCTTATTCCTTGAGTAATAAAAGAAGTAATAATTCTTTTGATATTGTGCAGACCGATGTTTGGGGGCCATATCACCTCCCTTCTATGGGTGGGTACAGGTATTTTCTGTTGTTTGTTGATGACCATACCCGTTTTTCTTGGGTCTACCTTATGCGTTCTCGAGCTAAGGTTCCCGCTCTGATCCGAAACTTTCATCAGATGATTTTAACCCAGTTTGGGGTCAAAATCAAAGTCCTCAGATCTGATAATGCAAAAGAATACTTTGCTAAGCCATTGGCCTCTTATCTACTTGATCATGGGGTTATTCACCAGAGCACCATACACCACAGCAGAATGGGGTTGCCGAGAGGAAGAATAGGCACATTTTGGAGGTGGCTAGAAGCATTATGTTTACCTCCAATGTGCCTATCCGTTTCTAGGGTAATGCTATCCTCACGGCAGTGTATCTCATTAATCGGGCTCCTTCACGGGTTCTTGATATGAAGCCTCCATTTATCCTTCTATACCCAGACGAGAAGTTGTTTACTGTTCCTCTTAAGACCTTTGGGTGCACCTGTTTTGTTCAGCTTCTTGGACCTCATCATTCCAAATTTGACCCTAGGGCCTACAAATGCATTTTTCTCGGTTAGCACAAACTCAAAAGGGTTATTGCTGCTATGATCCTGTTTTAGGGAGGACATTTGTCTCGATGGAATGTCACCTTCTTTGAGGAGGCACCCTATTATCCTAGGATTTCTCCTCAGGGGGGGAGTAGTGAGAATGCGAATTTGGGTCTTTTTCCTCAGGGGGAGTGCAGTGAGAGTGGGGTTACCTCATATGAGGTTGTTCCTTTACCCATTCCATGGAGTGATGAAGGCTGTACTGGTGAGGGTTGTCAGAGGGATCAAGAGTTGAATGTCTATCACAAGCGATGTAGGCAAGTTGATCTCGGTCATCAGCAGTCCAGGCCATCCCCAGCTCCTTTTGCGGATCCAGATCCAGGTACTACAGTCCTAGGGCCCATTGAGATACCTTCCACTATTGCTACTTCTCCTTTTTCGGATGACCTTGACCTTGACCTCCCTATTGCGGTCCGTAAAGGGAAACGGCGCTGCACCACATCCACAGCTCACTGCATTTCCCAGTTTCTATCCTATGATCGC